AGGACCGCTTACCTTCGTATAATAGCAAGGGGTGATTGTGGCCTAGCATGATGAGTGTGACCATGATCCAAGCCTGGGCAAACTCCCAGACCCATGTGGCCCTTGGGAGACACTCCATCCTCCTCTGGCTGTGAAGATTGCTGGGAGGCTTGTATTCAAACACACTTATCACAGGTAAGATGCATTTTCTGGCAGGCAAGCAGGGGGTGGGGTGGTTCTTTGTGGCAGACTTGGTTGAAGACTTCAGCCCTTGGTCTTCACTCACTAGGCATATAAAGATGCCTCGTCTGGACTCATCATCTCAGTCAAAACTGGATTCCCCCTACCCACAGAGTAACAACTATGAGATACCTCACCAAAAGATGAGAAACAAGGGGATCAGAGCGCAAAAAAATAAAATAATAGGCAGCAGAAAGGTATATGAGAACAACAGTTTAAGGGAAGTGAAAATAAATCAGAGAAATGTACTAAAGTGAGAACACAGATACAAAATGGAAAGATCCAGGTGTGCTAATAGAATAGAAAAATGCTCAACTCAAGTGTAAAACAGGTGATGCTACCAACACTAGCACCTGAAGGCAAGAAGAACAATTGTGTTATGAAAGCCGGGCTTTGAAAGGTTTGTCTCTGTCAGAATGTGGGGAATGGAAATGTTTGCTTTGAGTAAATTTGTTGTATGAAGTACCGTACTTTTGTAGAAGATATGAATGTATAAGAAGATCTTACTGCCAAATTGAGCAATTAATAATAGAAAGCTTGCTTTAATATAACTTTCAATTAATCAGCTGCAGTAATATTTTTTAAACAATAATTTTACACTATTAAGGCAGGGGTGTGTTATTTTTGGTTGTATTAAAAATCTTTGGCTAGTCTTCGGATTGCACCCCCCTCCTCCCCCCAAAAATCATATACTTTAATGAATCTAAACCAATTTGAAACCTGAAGATTTGACAATGAGCAAATTGAGCTATTAAATGTTGATGGGTCATCAATTTGATTTATGCATCTGTAACCTTTTATTATTATCCCCCCCCCTTTTTTTACACTGACAGAACAAGTTAGTGACTAATGACAAAGTAGTCCGAAAGGGCACATTTTTACAAATGATTAAGATGCAGATTTGTATAAACCACAATTACAGTTTAATTGGCTTACAACTGTCTCTTTTAAACATTCAGAATCACCAGGGCAGAGTACAGCTGTACTTGCAGTATTAAATACTTAAACTAGGACCCTTCTGATGCTGTGGGACTCTTTGCAAGCAACTGAAGATATTGTGGTGGATCAATAGAGTGGGTTTGTTGGCACTACTGCAGTATAAGATTTACCATATTTTTCGCTCTATAAGACGCACTTTTCCCCTCCTAAAAAGTAAGCGGAAATGTGTGTGCGTCTTATGGAGTGAATCCAGGCAGGAGGCTCTGCTCAGTGCTCCCTTTAAAGAGCCGCATGGGCTGCCCTTCTCCCTCCGTGGGGAAAAGCCCCCAAGAACCTCGCACACACTCCGCAAGCTCTTTAAAGTGAGTGCAGCTCTTGGGGGAGCCTTAGCCATGCGCAGCCTCTCCCGGGCAGGGGGAGCCTTCATCCCGCTGCCTGAGAGAGGCTGCATGCGGCTATCCCATAAGCCAGGACAGCCAGCAGGATCACTGCGCAGCTTCTGGGATTCAGAATATTTTTTTTCTTGTTTTCCTCTTCCAAAAACTGGGTGCGTCTTACGGTCTGGTGCGTCTTATGGTCTTATAGAGCGAAAAATACGGTAACTACCAACATATGCATTATTGGGGTAGCTGGAAAGACTGAAGACTGAATAATAATTGCAGTATACTTCTCTCTTTTTTGAACCCATAGCTTTTTTTTAGAACACATCGTAAACATGAACTTTTGAAAGTGCTGTAAATTAAACTGAACACATTTATACTTCATTATGTGTACAAAATAGTTCTTGGCAAGCTAGCTTTTGAATACTTTGAATAAGCAGCATAATATTTCACACACTTTTTCAAGCATCATAATGCTTTACTAATATCCCATCTAGCTTTGGTAAAATTGAAAAACTTGCCTTCTGTTAAAGGATATCCAAATCATAATTACCTATCATGTTGGCATTGTTTAATTGAATGATGCCATATATCAACAACAATATCTTTCTGCAACCTCAAGTAAATCTGAATCGCAAGCAACTTCCGTTAGGGGTCATTGGACCCCTAGAACTTCAAAGGTTATTTTTTATCACCTTTTCTGCCTCACCGTTCATCTGCTGGGTAGAAGTTGGACACTAGCTTAGGCTTTATAGACCCTTTGTTGTTGTTTAGTCGTTTAGTCGTTTCCGACTCTTCGTGACCCCATGGACCAGAGCACGCCAGGCACTCCTGTCTTCCACTGCTTCCCACAGTTTGGTCAGTTATAGATCCTAGCTTAGGCTATATCCACGACTTTGCCTGGTATTTTAGAGCTTATTGCCAGAGTCTAAATCTGGCTTCCTCAACCTCAGCCCTCCAGACGTTTTTTGGCCTACAACTCCCATGATCCCTAGCTAGCAGAACCAGTGGTCATGGGTGATGGGAATTGTAGTCTCAAAACAGCTGGAGGGCCGAGGTTGAGGAAGTCTGGTCTAAATGGGAGGTTACTTGAGTGTGGACACTATGACCTGGTTATCCAGAAATGGCTGTAGCTGGCAGATCAGCTGGAATTTGAAATAAGCACGTCTTACCACTGAAGACATCTGGGCTCCCAGCAACAAAGTGGAATCTAGGAGTATCTTCAGACAATGGGACTGATCCTTCAGGCAGAATGCAATGCCATCCAGAACAAGTCAGCCATCCAGTTCTAGGATCTGTGAACCACCAATCCAGAGCACCTCCATAATGCCAGGTATTAGCTTCCATTTATTTTCCCCAAACCAGCCCATTACAGCCTCCATACTCTGATGCAACCTGCACAGTGGTGTTTCAGATGAAAAGCAGAAATAGGGCCAGATGTAACCAGTATACTAGTTAGACCTCAACCTAAATCCTTGGGCCACCTTGCCCAACAGCGTCATACAGATATTACTTCTATCAATAGTCCAATAGACATTTTCACTACTGTACCTATTGAAGTGACGAGCAAACTGCACTGAAAGCATTGTCATTCCAAATGTTGAGAGTTCAGCGAAGTTCATTTCAAATGCGAAACCACAGTTTCACTTTATGTTTTAAGAGTTTCAAGTTTATATGTTCTCTCTTCTGTTCTCCAGTGGTATAGTTGTGAGATTATTGAATCTCATTCTCATTATGTACAAAGATGGATGAATTGTGGTTAGTCTTAACAGTGGTTTACTACAGGGGTCAGAACCCTTGAGCCTGAATGTGGCCCTCCTGGACCCTCCATCTGACTGTCATAGCCCTACCCAGTCCACACCTACTCAGACCCTGCTCTTTGCCATAATTTTTGGGTGCTACTTGCCTGTCTAGAATTTGTTGTTGAATTATGATATTTTCTCTTGCTTACATTGTTGTTTAGTCATTTAGTTGTGTCTGACTCTTCGTGACCCCATGGACCAGAGCACGCCAGGCACTCCTGTGTTCCACTGCCTCCCACAGCTTGGTCAAACTCATGTTAGTAGCTTCGAGAACACTGTCCAACCATCTCATCCTCTGTTGTCCCCTTCTCCTTGTGCCCTCAATCTTTCCCAACATCAGGGTCTTTTCCAGGGAGTCTTCTCTTCTCATGAGGTGGCCAAAGTAGTGGAGCCTCAGCTTCAGGATCTGTCCTTCCAGTGAGCACTCAGGGCTGATTTCCTTAAGAATGGATAGGTTTGATCTTCTTGCAGTCCGTGGGACTCTCAAGAGTCTCCTCCAGCACCAAAATTCAAAAGCATCAATGCTTCGGCAATCAGCCTTCTTTATAGTCCAGCTCTCACTTCCATACCTCACTATTGGGAAAACCATAGCTTTAACTATACGGACCTTTGTCGGCAAGGTGATGTCTCTGTTTTTTAAGATGCTGTCTAGGTTTGTCATTGCTTTTCTCCCAAGAAGCAGGTGTCTTTTAATTTCATGACTGCTGTCACCACCTGCAGTGATCATGGAACCCAAGAAAGTAAAATCTCTCACTGCCTCCATTTCTTCCCCTTCTATTTGCCAGGAGGTGATGGGACCAGTGGCCATGAGCTTAGTTTTTTTTTATGTTGAGCTTCAGACCATATTTTGTGCTCTCCTCTTTCACCTTTATTACTGAAGAGATATACATGGATAGATGCAGAAAGGAATCTGGGTCTTTGGCATGGTTGGGAATGTAGCCTATTGTTCAAATGTAAGTGCACCATCCATTGCTTCACCTACTTTTGCTTCTGTTTCCATCTTTGCCATCTAATCATACCCATTTTTGCTGCCCTTCTTGAATCTTGTTGCACAGAGGATAAAACTCAATTTTCACTTTATTTGCAAAGCAAAATTATCTGTTAGTTGCTTACCTGACATTGCTGCAAACATCTTGAAATTGTGTGGAAAATATTTAAATCAGATTAAAGACTTAAAAGACTAAGCAATTGCTCACCCATTTATACTGTAAGTAGCCTGTAAATTTTCCCTTAAGGCATTTTTGATTATTGTGGCTTGAGGCAGTAAGACTGTAGTGAATCTAAGTTGTATCTTCACACAGTTATGCATGTATTATAGTGCTGTGTTCTTCTGAAGGGGTGTCTCTATAATTATATTTTTATTACACTATAATTTTATTTTATAGTGCTTCTTAGTTTGACTTTTAGTTTAGAGACCATGCCCCTAAAGCAATTTTGCAAAACTCTGTAATACTCATGTTTAATGGGATTCTTTCCAAGATTAGTAGTTTGAAGACTGGGCCATGCATATAATTTTAAGAGCACATTTTAAAATGCAGTTCTGAATAAATTATGCAAGATCATCCAATACCTCTGCTTGGTTTTGTTTGGTTTTGTTTTTATCCCAAATATCAGTAGCTTTCAGATTTTCATAATGAAAAGGGGGGGGGGAGAATGGTTGCATTTGGGCAACTTCAGAGACTGCAACAGAAAATATGACTGTATTCTTCCATATTTTCTGTTGCAGTCTCTGAAGTTGCCCAAATGCAACCATTCCCCCGCCCGCCCTTTCGTTATGAAAATCTGCTTTGAAGCAATGATTGAGATTCAGGAAGTGTGCTCTACTCTTTTCCCAAATGCCTTGGAAACATTAAAAAATAAAAATAAAAAGCACAGACACTTCGGAAAAAAGCAACCAGAAGGGAACATTTAGCCTCCTGGTTTGAACTTCTGTTGCTTTATTGTTTGCTGTTGTTTATAATTCTCACTATTGCTGCCTTATCTGAAACTTTAATATTGCCTTATAAATTATTTTGTGTTAGAATTGATGTGGATCTTCTTTCTTTAAGATGGGAAAGCAGCATGTGAAGATCAAAATAAAAATAAGCCTGTTTTTTTGACTGCTGTTTCTCAGCTGTAATTAAAACTTTGTCAGTTTTCCCCCTGTGGTCTTCAAAACTGTGGATGAGGCAACAGGGGATGAATTTAGCAAAACTTTTTTTTTAAAAAAATCAGCATCAAATAGCACCCCACTGATTTCCCCCAGGGATTGCTGCGAAAACAATTATGACAGGAGTGGTAGAAATATTTTGCTTCCCCGTCGCTATCCACCCATACTTTTTCTGCACTAAATTGAAATGGTTACATATTTGAATGAGTTGTGAGGACTTGGGTTGGTTCCTTTGCCATGAACATGTATTACTTAGTGGAATTTGGACTTATGGAGGCCCTGGAACTTTGTAGAGTGCAGAACCTATTTGGAAGTTAGTTCCACAGAGGCTGAAGGATCAAAATAATAATAATTATTGCTGTTGTTCTGAAAGATATTTGTGATGGGACTGGTAGTCCTGCTGAGGCCTGATTAGTTTCTGACACTGGAAGATGACTTGGCCATAGCTGTCAACTTTTCCCTCTTCTTGTGAGGAATCCTATTCGGAATAAGGGAATTTCCCTTTAAAAAAGGGAAATGTTGACAGCTATGCTTGGCTGATTTACAGTATCACTCCTTGGTGTCTTCTGCTCCTAGGCAGTATTCTAGTGAGATAGTAAAGTCTTTGGCAGCGCACTAGGATTAGTTTGCTGTGGACTTGCAGGTGTTCAAACTCCATAGAAAAAGAGATAATGCAAAACATACCTGACATGCTCTGTATACTTTTGCATATGTGCAACCAGAGGACATGGAAAGGATGCTTGGTGGGATGAGTTTAGCACTTGTTCTCTTGATCCTTGCTCTTACTGACTGACTAAACCCTCCAACTGTGGGGCTGACATAGTGTAATGGAAGACATGGACACTATCTTGAGGGAAGGGTTGATCCCAGCAGCCTTTGAAGGAAATGTTCAGATGTCTATTGAAACCAGTTTTTTATCTTAATTATGCAGTTGTGACCTTGAAGCAAAAATATGTTTTAAATGTGCATTTTATTATAATGTACATAATGTAATATAGTCTGGTACATTTTCCCCCTATATAGAAGCATTATGTGAAATGTGAAATCCAAAAGATAATTATGTTCCAATCTGCCCGGGTTTATCCTGGAGATGCAGGGCAAGGGAGTTCAAATTAGAATCCACAGAAATTGAACTTCTAGAAAAGGTGTTGTTGCTAATTCCCCATGAATTGTTGTCACTGTGTGAATGCCAGTTCATATTATCTTCTTAATTATCACATGATTTTAATCCCCCTCTGCTTATATTAGAATCTAAAACATACTTCCTTTACTCATAGAAGCTGTAACGGTTTCTACAACTGGCTTACCTTTCTTCCTTCCCTACACTGCAGAGTATGCCTTATTTCCTACTGTTTCACAATATAAAACACATGAAGAAGAAAGGAAGAGGGGGAGGGTTAGAACCTTGTTCTTTAAAGATTAGCAGTATCTCTCTGGCTTTGGCTGAGACCTTATGCCCCACCCAATTATCAATTTTGAAGAGTCAGGGGTGGAATTCTAACTCAAGAAGATGGGTAAAAGGTAAAGGTAAAGGACCCCTGACAGTTAAGTCCAGTCGCGAACGACTCTGGGGTTGCGGCGCTCATCCCGCTTTACTGGCTGAGGGAGCCGACTTTTGTCCCCCAGACAGTTTTTCCGGGTCATGTGGCCAGCATGACTAAGCCACTTCTGGCGAAACCAGAAGCAGCACACGGAAACGCCGTTTACCTTCCTGCCAGAGCAGTACCTACTTGCACTTTGGTGTGCTTTCGAACTGCCAGGTTAGCAAGAGCTGGGACCGAGCAGTGGGGATTTGAACCACTGACCTTCCAATAGGCAAGCCCTAGGCTCAGTGGTTTAGACCACAGCACCACCCGTGTCCCATAAGAAGATGGGAGGCATCCTCAAAATATAATGCATAGGATGTCTCATATATCAAATTGTGACCGCCTTCAGGGGTACATTCAGCTTTAAGCACCTAAGTCCAGCAAATATGCAAGAAAATAGTTGAGGTGTTCTAAAATTTATAATAATCTAATCCAGGGTGATCTAACATACAGCCTGAGGCCTTTTGGGGCAGACCTCGGCAACATTTGACACACACACACACACACACACACACACACACACACCAGCCCTTGTGCTGCCTTGTGCTGGGTAAGCAAGGCTCTGGGCTTGGGAAGGGGGTGTGAGGGCTCTGACAAGGTCCTTAATAATAATGTTAATGATAATAATAATAATAATTAATATACAATCTGTTTGATTGAAATGGCTTGAACGTATACTCACTGCCATGAAGTTGTGTTCAAACTGCTTTTACTGCTTTTTTAGTATGTTTTGCCTTCACATAGAGTGTTCATAGAGTGTGGAATCTGTATCCTCCAAATCTGGAATGAAATCAGCCATGAATTCACTGAGTGGTCTCTATTCCGTTCACTTCGATTTCCCTCTGTAAAATAAGAAGATTAATGGTGTGCCTTCTAGAGGTACTGTAAAATAAATGACAGAAGATGAGTGATGTAGGGAAAGCTAGGCACATTTAAGCACTGATGTCTCATTGATTTCAATAGGAATTAACTGTGCACTTACACATCACATTGATTTTATTTTCAGTGGGATTTAGGTAGCCTAACACTAATGCTCTCCCTCTACAGTCAGAGGTCGTATGCTTCTGCATACCAGTTGCTGAAAACTGCAGGAGGGGAGAGTATTCTTGTACTCAAATCCTGCTTACAGGCTTCTCACAGGCATCTGGCTAGCCACTAGGAGAACAGGATGCTGGACTAAATGGGTCAGTGGCCTGATCCAGCAGGCTCCTCTTATGTTCTTACGTTGTTACTATATGTGCATTGTGTTACATGATGCATTTCTGAGCCCAGCCAATGCAGAAATGACCCCTATCAATGAAAGTGCATCTATTGTTGTAAAAGGAAGCTCCCTACCAGTTGTGGACATTTCTCTCTCATGAGCAAGAACATGGAGATCTATGCATGCATGTTGCACTATAAATGGGCTAGAATAGAAAACTGTATGCATTCGGAGTATGGGTTTGTACAAATTCTGGTACTTCCATAGTGGAAAAATAAATTAGGGGTAATAGTAGCTGCGATGTTATAATCTCTCATTAGGATTAATCAATGAAAGCTTCTACATATTGGATTAAATATAATTCTAATTAATTGCCAATAAATCTAAGTGATTATGTGCTTTGAAGTGGAACTGTGAGTCAAATTCATATTTGTCTTTTGACTTTGTCAGACCTTCAAACCATGGATAAAATTGTGCTATATTTATTCTATGTGGAAAATACTGAAACCTTTTAATTTTTATTTTCTTTTTTTAAAGTACTGGTGCATTTGCATATATTTTTAGAATAATTGGATACAAACAAGATGCATTAACTTTAAAACATTTAGCATCTGGTTGGTTGAAGTTCAGATGAAACCTGAACTTATGAATTCAAAAATGATACCTTTCCAGTGACCTTCACTATGCTAAAATGAAAAACCTGCTCAGGTTCAGTACATTTGTTAGGTTTCATGTTAGGTGTATTAATAGAATACACTTCAGACGGCAGAGGAATTTGCATTCCAGAACTATCTCACCTGACCCATGATGCGAGCCATGTTTTCTTCCCCATAAAAATCCCATGAAAGGACAGGATGCCATCACATCCTAACACTGCAAGAGACATAAACACAGTGAGGGATTATTATAAGGATATCATAAGCAGCTAATGGTACTAGGAATCCAGTGCCATATAAGAAGTAGTGACCTGGGAATGAAGGCCCGGATACACTAGGGGAAGCTTGAATGCATTTGGGCCACACAAGGACAGAAAGGATTGAAAGATCTGGGAAATGGAGACAGAAAAAGAGAGAGAAGAAAGAGTTAAAACACTAACAATTACTTGCTTCAAGGAGAAGAAAATGAACAGTATGATAGTATGAGCAGTATGATACCATTTTAAACAGCTGTGGCTTCTCCCAATGAATTGAATTGCATTTTGACAATTGTGTTTGTATTGGTAGTCTATGTGTGAGATTTGACCAGCTCCTGCCCATCTGGAGCTGATACAGGCTCGTCTTATCTTGAGCCCAAGCAGAGCGTAGACATGCAACGAAAGGATAAGTAGGTAATGTGCTACATGCTTAAGTTTATTTACAAGCTATGCTGAGAGCATACAGACATACATCTTGCCTCTGTGAGAGCAGAGAAGCAACTCCTCTTGACACAAAGAGAACCGAGAGAACACTGAAAAACAGGAAACCAGTGTACGTCACATCCAGTCTCCCATTCCCGTGGGAACCCAACAATAACTCTGACTGTGGAATGTAAACAATGTCTTGTGACATGCATTTGCTGCTCGGTGAAGAAAGCAGAAACCAACACTATGGTCATGACAGAACTTTTGCTGGTGGCCACTATCTCTCCTCCCTCCCGCCCCAAATTTCCATATGTAGTATTATTCAGTGACTGTCGTGGGGAGAAATAAGCCATCATTGCCACTCATATTGCGTCATTCTGAATGACCTTGCATTTTGATAGTTAAATTACCACAAGCATACGTTTGCATTCTATGCTTTGTAGAGCAACGCTCCTGTCCAGTTATTGTG